AAAGAGTGTATTTCTCCCCATTGAGTGTAGAGGGAACTGGGGGGGTCAGATCTAGAGCTGTACAATGGAGCAATCAAGTTGGGCATGATGAATTCCATCCCAGGCTACTAAGTCCACTGTTGCTGGCCAAGCATCTAATATTTGCTTGAGTCCTATTGACTTAATCAAGACCCTAGAGCACATATCAATGCATTGCAATTTATTTTGATAAGCAGAAGATTTTACTGATTGTTTTCCTGAAGCTTTTTGCAGTTATAACCATATTCCTGTAAAAAATCAATAGTGTTCCTGTAAAAAATCAATAACATCAAATAAGTTGAAGTACAGTGTCTGAAGTCAAAGCCACGACAAAGAGGCTAGTATAATTTTATGTATACTTTTAGGTGCACATTAAAAGAAAATTGTACAAGTTCAAACAGCATAAAGGGTTGGTATAACATTTCACATGCACCTGATAAAGATCTGAAAGTCGTGCTAAGATTCCCTGCCAAAAATCAGGTATGTACACCCATTTTTATGTGTGTTTGTTTATTGTGACTTAAAACGTGTCATTTTGTCGCTTATTGCAGTTTCCCTTCTTTTGTCACCATATTCCATATATTAGTCCCTCTTACCTCAACAATTGGCAAATGTATTGGAAATCCCAGTAAGTTGAATGTGTTAATCAGATAGGTGTTCTCCTCCTCTCCTATAGAATGTATCCTGAAGCTATACTTCATGATGTTGAGTCAAAAATTCACTATGCTGACAAAGGCAATGTTTCCGTTATATCATTTTATCCGCTATTTTAATATTGCCAGTGACTGTATATATCAAGCACATTATGTAAGTTCTGAGCTTTGTAACAAGTTACAAATCATTCACTGGGACACATATGCTAACACAAATGCATCTTTAAGTGTTTGATATTAGTATTTATTCAGTATCTGTTCACAGCACACACAGCCTTGAGTATTTGATTATCAAGTATTGTTACTGGCCACTTAATCTGCATGCTATTGTTTCTGGTTTCCTGATTGAATGCGCTAATGTGATCATATTTGTAAAGCGCTCTCAGCCAGAAACAAAGGATAATTCATTACAAGACAAACTCTGTTTCATAATTAAGTGCACTTTGGTTATGGATGCAAATGTTGTCTCTCTGTGAGGATTTGTACATTATTGCTTGAATATTTTTAAGGGACTATAACAGCATATGACACTGTTAGAGCAAAATTCTTGTTTTAAAATCCAAAATTATTCCAGATTGCTCCCCTAACATATTTTACAGATCCATATAGTTTCTGGAAGTAAGCAATGCTGTACCTTTCAGGACTCTTTCTGTATTGCTTCTTCAGTTGCAAGAGGCCCTCTCCTTTGAGAGACTCCCTAGTGAATTGTCTGCTTCTGCCACAAAACTTTTCATTTTGTACATTTCATAGTTTGTAGTTTTCTGTAAAGACAAGGTGACAGCTTAACAAGTATTGCAAGAAATCTGTTGTATTCTTGTTTTTGTTGTTTTGTAGGTTGCTGTGGCTGCAAGCATAAGCAAAATCCTTACTTCCTGTATGATAAAAATTGTAAAACCTGTTGAAGTATTTTATGAAAATGTAGTGCTGAAAAACTCATCCTGTTTCTGCAATCTAACTGCTCCGGTGATAACTGATAATGGTATGTTTTACTATTGCATGTATTTAATGCTTATTCACTGTCCTTTATTACTGAGGAGAACTGAGCATAAATACAGGCCTAATAAGTGTGAGAGTAGGTAATGCTTTTTATTAAAAGTCATTGAAAAAAAAAATCCATGTTTTCTCAAGTGATTTGAGTATGCACACACTATTCTTGATCATTACAGATTTGTTAATATGGAATCCTTTCTAGAAGTAATAAAACATGTTAACCTACGGCTAGAAGCAGCTTCTTCAGTTCAGCCTATGGCAGTGCAGTGTTCTAGCATTAGGAGCATATTGGTGCTATTAATCACTGTCTAAGGAAATTTAATCCATGTTTTCTCAAGTGATTTGAGTACACACACACTATTCTTGATCATTACAGATTTGTTAATATGGAATCCTTTCTAGAAGTAATAAAACATGTTAACCTACGGCTAGAAGCAGCTTCTTCAGTTCAGCCTATGGCAGTGCAGTGTTCTAGCATTAGGAGCATATTGGTGCTATTAATCACTGTCTAAGGAAATTTAACATAGCTGCAATGGCAATCAACTGGCTGGAGCTTTGGAAGCAGTGTTGGTCCAGTGTTCTGCCTTGACAGATTAACCCATCTTAACCCTTCTCTCATCTGCAAACAGAATTTGTTTTTGCAAGAAACTGTAGTAGCATAAATAAGAGGAGAATCTGACTATGGATGTCTGTACAATAAATAATCTTAACATTCAATTAACTGTTGCAACCTAACTTAGACACTTGTGAGAAAGCGATTGTCCCGTGTAGAGGATTAGCAGAAAAATACATGGTTCAGGGGCAATTTGGCTGGTGCATCATTTTGACTTGATTTCATTCATGTTTCTGAATTACTGGTTGCATCATTTTGCAATAATTCTTATACTACTTTGTTCACTGGTAGTTCTCAGAATTAGAGACCTGAGCCATTTGTTTTGGACACATGATGTACGTGATGTTTTGTGCATCTTATGGGGAACTACAAGTTTTAGAATGAGGTGGTAAATTACTGAATGTCTAGACTTTTGAGCTGTTCTCTAGGCTTTGGCTTCAAAGATCAGATGATAATCCTTCACAGTAGAGTCTTACTTGACTAATAGGAGGAAAACGTCCCCCTTGCATTGCTTCAAGGGTCTGTATAGAAGCACAAAGCTTTTTTAATACAGGTCGACCTTGTACCTTTTTAAAGTTTTAATGTTGGAATACAAAAGAGAGTTTTAATCTAAATGGAGGGACAAAAAGCTCAAGGATACCATGTGCTCTTAAGTGGCTTGAAGAGGAAACAGAAAATTCAGATAAATGCCTGCCTTTATCTTTTCCTAGACAATATAGCCCAAAAGACATGTAACACTCTGCATGAATCTCATTTGCCTTTGTGTAGAAAGAGGAATGAAATGTTAACCAGAACTTACAATGACCTGTTGTTGTGGAGAGCTCAGCGCTGCAAAGAGCTCGCTCTCTCGGGGACCCTTGCCCCTGAAGGAGGTTCCTTGGGATATTGGGATCTCAGGAGCTCATCCTATGGCCTTTGTATGGGAAAAGCTCCTCTGGTATCATACAAGTGTTGTGTCAAGTTCCTGTCCAATACTGATTTGGGGATCGAGAAGAAAAGACTTTGTCACTAGCAGGTGGTAGCTAGGGTGATATCCATGAGTATTCTGGTCTATTAAGCTGTCTTTAGTAAACACTATCAGTGGATTTTGAAGAGGGACAAATGCATTAGAGAAGGAAAAAATGTCCTTTATTGACCCAGTCCCAAAAGCCATATTTTCTTGTAATTATGGAGTACGTTGTTTTGGTTCTCTGTCTTCTTGGACTAAGGTTTTCTCTTACTCCATTAGCAGATTTTCAGAGTATAGTGTTACGGAAGCCAGCTCGCCCTGCCTGCGCTTTGTGCCAAAGATGAGCTCTTTGACAGTGTTAACCAGAAGGCTGTGAGCTTAGCTTGTGCCTGCCAGTATTACTGCCACTCATATCTCAGCTCGTAGGAGCATGTATTAGTAGATAATGCAAGTGTGGAAGTTATGTTGACTATTTATGGTACCTCGTGTAAAGTGACCTCAGTCTCACAAGAAGATCCACTTGCAAAGCTCCTTCATGTATCATTTCTGGAAAAAAAACATTTTGAAAATACCTGCTACTCAGTGCAGTCTGGTGCATTTTGAAAGGTCAGCCCAGGCCATACAGAAAATAATAGGTTCCATTAATTTCAACACAGACAAAATCAGGAAACCATATCTGACAGTGTCATTTTTAAAGTATTTATACAAACTTAAAAGAGAAGACAAGCTCCGCCAGAAAGATAAATTCCTTACTTTTACATACGACTCCTAGTAAAATACTATTTTTCAGTAGCTCATGGCTTCAGACCGTTCTCATGTAATGACCTAGGCAAGTGATTTGTGCCCAGCATATCAGATTTCTGCAGGTACATAGATTTCTGGAGATGCAAATAGGTGCTTGGTGAAGGATTTCAGAATGTCTATGTGTGCTCATCCACAACTTCAAGCATTAAAACACCTTTAAAAATCAGACTCTTTGCTATCCGTTTAGTAAGGCATTTAGGCATACGAACAGTCCCAAGGGCTGTTTCTAACAAGCAGTGCAGGTGACCTTTGCAATGAGTACCCAAGTGCCATGCTGACGTGTAGAGCTAGGAGATACTTCTGATTTAACAATGTAGATGTAGCCAAAGCTGGTTTTCATCTGAACAAGCCAGCCTGTGATAAAGACAAAGCTTTCTCTACCTTTGCAAGGTAGGTATACTTTAAATCTGTGTAACTTTCCTGGATTAAAAAGCTATCTACTTCCTAGCATAGAGAACCCAGAAAAGTCTGCGCACATGGGTTTCATTTGATCTCAGACAGTCATTCATTTCACAGACATACACATCTGCAGGCACACAGATGAAAGGGACCATGGCTTAAGTGGTATATATCTAACTCTACTTTTCGATGTGGTATTCTGCTTGTGGGAGAAGATACTCTTTCATTCCACAGCTGTCACTGAATTGTTGGTATAGTAATTGCTGGCTGAAATAATGGCAAATTGACTCATGCAATCATAAAAGATTTAAATAGGATGAAAATTGCTACTGCATAGATTACAAAAGAAGACTCTGAAACCAAGTCTCTGAGACAGAAAGAGACACAAGTACGGTATGTTGGGGGTCTCTCACATTGGAACAGTCTGTTGTGTTAGAAGGCTTGAATTCGGGGTCTGGCTGTGCCACAGTATACCATTGTGTGCTCTTCAGGAGATGATTTTATATCCCTGCTCCATGGTAGCATTTCCTTATCTGTATCCTGACAATAACATTATTTTTGTATGTCATGCAGTGGTGGCATCAAGCTTAATTAATGAGTGTGTATAAAGTCTTGGAATAACTCAGCTGAAGGATGCTATGGAAGGACAAAATCTAGTTATTTTTATCGGTCAAAAGTGTGAGTGAATGTATGAGAGAAAGTACATACCATGTAGATAACAGCTGAAGGCACATGAGCTTTCAACTCAATTATTTTTTTACAGTTATTTCTTGTAATATCCAGCGTATGTCTAACAGTCACATTTTTCCAGATTGTCTAGTTCTCGAAGCATCGCTGTCCTCAAGCTCTTGGAATATCACACAAACATTTTGGTTGAAAAAGTAAGAGCCTGGTTCCTACTGAAGTTCATTGAGGGGTTTTTGTGTGTGCGTGTGGGGAGGGGGGGCTGAAATATTATCTTTTTTTTTTGCTATTTATTAAGGAAATACATTTCACTAAAGACAGTCAAATCCCTTTTCTTGACCCATTTCCTCCTTCTCCTCTTTTTTATTGTCCTTAGAAAGCTACTTCTGCTGATGACTCTTTTATTTAATGGGACCCTGGCAGCTAGCTGTAGGAGAGTCATTACAATGAGTGAATTTATGACAAGTGCCTGAAGAGATAATAAAGGATGGCACAATGACATTAAAGTCTTTTTTGTCCTTGTGAAAAAGGTGGGCCCCTGCTACTCAGGATAAGACCTAGATCAGAGGAGTCAAGAGATTCTATAAAAGTCACTTTATGGAGACGTTTTTTAATAGAGACAAATGCAATTTAAATATGGTCCATGGGTAACATGAATGCAATTAAACCGGAAAGTAACATCTAATCTGCTAACAAGAATAATGAATAACTATTGTTCTGTATACATTATTTTTCAGAGCCACGCTCTTTGTTGAGAGCTCGCAGTAGAAAGTGTTTGTGCCCAGTACATGGCCTAAACCTTTATGATATGTGGTTGTTAAAACTTCGAAAGATCTGGCTAACGTGTCCTGTAGGTAACTACAGTGTTCCCGTTCAGAACGCTCCTCCCCTATACAAAGAGGCGAATTCATAGGCACCTGGGATAAAACTGAACTCCTGCTTTTTAGGAAGTGGCACATCATTTCCCTGTCCCTGGAGCAACACAGGGAAGGAACTGTCTTTCTCTAAATCAGAGCATTTCTCAGCATGCGTGGAGAGGGCCTGTGCTGCTCTTGGCTCTCCTCCATGTTGATAGATGCATTGTAAAGCAAGATAGGGACAAACTAGTCTCTAACAGGCATGTTTTTTGGAGGGGAAAGGCAACAGCTAACTAACAATACTTGCTAGCACTACACACACAGAACAGAAGTTCAGGCAAGCTGTGAAAGAATCAGTGATGGTTTTCTGCCCTTTTCTGTTTGAAAAGTACTATCTGGCCACTTATGTACTGGAGAAAATCACAGCAAAATGAAACCCAAAGTGTCCGTCTGCTTCACGCTTTTTGGAAATTTATGACTCTCAGCATCTCAGCACAGATTGTATTTCATACTAAATTTGTCCTCAGAATAAGCACAACAGAACAATAGGCTTGGAGGGTAAGCACAGGTTATGTGTTGTATGCATTTCATTACATGCTTGCCAGGTTGTTCTCTTGGGTTTGTGTTTTTTTCTGTCACTTGAAATTTCACATTCATGGCTGAATTGAGATTGAGTTCCTGTGTCTTACAAAAGCTCTGTTTTCTGTGTTACCAGCTGCTCACGATGTATACGCAAGGGTGAGTGTACCAGCTGTAAATGGACACGTGTCTCTCCTGCCACCACCTGCCAGGTGAAGTTTGTTGGGGAGGACTGGAATCCCCTGTGATGCTTTTTCCTTGTATTTTTTACATCTGAGCAGCAATCTGTCTCTTCCTTGTCCTGACATGGAGAAATGCTGATTTTTTTTTCAGGATAGTTGTAATGCACCTGCTTCCAAGGGGATCGCCACTGCGCAGAAAACAGAGGTTAGTTAGCATTTTAAGATTGGCATTATCACGGTTCTGTGGGTTGGGGGAGAATTTTATTTAAAATGAGAGGACTTTGCAGGAAGAATAGAGATATGGATGATGAGGCAGTCAGTTACATAGAAAGGTAATGCAGAACTTGGATTGATACTATTTTTTCTTAGTGCTTTGTTGGTGCTTAAAGGTACCAATGAAGATTTGCATTTCATATCCAGGCATTGTTCTGTTGGGAACTGCCAGATGTAAATGCAATACCATCACGGTAGTCTAATGATACATTCAGACCTGAGAACATTTATTTGCAGTCCTCAGTGGTTAGGAAAATGCATATTTTCTAACATGGGAAAAGCATACATCTCAACATATGCAACTACTTACAGAAAAGCCCATCAGCATTTTGCAGCATCTTCAGTTAGAGGGAGAAAATGTGATGCTGTCGAGTCATGTCTCCAACAACAGCTGGGCAGATGCCAGCTGAAAATCACTGACAGAGCACTCACCTGGGTCTCCTCTGACAGGCAATGACAAAAGGCAGGGAGAGAAGGATGTGGTGGGAATTCTTTGTTGGGTGACCAGAGGAGAAGAGGGGAGCGGTGGTAGCAGCAGCACTGGGGACAAGTGCCAGGAGTAAAAGGAGCAGGATTTGGGGGAAGGGGGACATGGGCATATAATATTACCAATTGCAGAACACTGCAATAGTTATGTGCTTACCTCTAGATGCAGTATTTACAATATTGCTTTAAATGCTGAAGTCCCTGTATGCTTTATTTAGGGAAAGTCCCTGTATGCTTTATTTAGGCACTCCACAGGAGCCAGCATGTGGAGGGCTGGGATGTGTAAGCTGACCAAGAACAACAGAAAAAAGAAACAAAGGAGAACATCTTGGGCTTAATCTCTTACCTACACTTAAATGCATGTTTGAGTTCTGCTGTCACAGACAACTCTGTGAAACTAGATTTCAGAGTCTCAAAACTCTTTCTCGTTTTATGCAGCCAGATCACAGCTTCTCCTGAAACATAGGTGCCAGGGCAGCAGAAGGAAGGGGAGGATGTGCCACCCAGTTTCTGCATAGCAGACAAGTGGCTAGAGGATCCATCCAGGAACTGAAATCCCTGGGTGTTAGTACATCCCTGATTCACACTTCCAGAAAAATTTTCCTTGGTTCCAGGCTGTAGACAAAACTGGAGATGGAGCTACCCTCCATCCATCCCGCTCAAACTGGATCACTGGAAAAGAAGGAGTGTTGTTGATGCCAAAGTGCCTTCTGAATCTGGTTGTTAAGTTCTCTATTGAAATCGTACCAACTGTATGTGAGCATACAGTCTATATGATTTGCTTCATAGGCCAGCCCTTTAACCACAAGGTTATCCCTTCATTCTTTATGGTGCCAAAATGGTTTTATTTTCTCATAAAACTGAGCAATCTTGTCATCAGTGGGTGCTTGTGACATGCAGGTGTTAGGAAATGAATGACTAGTGAAGAGAAATTTGACTGATGAGTAAGTATATAGGGATTTGCTGCCTACACTTTTTGGTTTCTGCTTTTCTGTGAGTGATCGCACAGTTGGTATAAATAGCAACTGTGATCTTATCTCTAAATGTTTCATTAGAACTACCCAAACTTTTACCTGTGAAGACAAGGAAATACCTCTTAAATTCAGCTGTTCAGCTGAGGTTTCTTAAACAAAATCACAAAATCCATTTTGGTTTTCACAGAGATGAGTGAGATTGTAATACTTGTGCTTCCGAGCATTAATATTCTGGATTTGGTCTGCATATAAAGCATTATGAATGGTGAAAGAACAGAGGAAATTCTTCTTTGCTCGGCTTCCAAGTGCATTAATTTGACATTGGTAAATAGTTAGAATTGCCTGTGAGATGGCTTTCTTCCACACGCCTTATCTTGGAAAGACAGTGATGGACAAGGCAGTGAAAGCACTAGAGGCAGTCCAAAGGCAGATGTTTATTTAGAAGTGATTGATCCATTCAGAGGGCTTGAAATTGCATTTGAAATCCTGCTCTCCTTTGACTGCTGGTGCTTTAAGGAGAACATACCGGAGAGCTGAGAAAGAGGATTTGTGTTTTCCCACCACCCCAGCCGAACATTTAGATTAATATACTTTTTTTTTCAGTGGCAGCCCCAGCCCTCCTCCTGACTCCAGCTGCTGGTTTCCATGCGTGCGCCTTCCCCCTCCCTGCGCCAGAGCAGCAGTGGGAGTGGTTGCACGAGTACGCTGGGCTGGGGAACTGATTTGGCTGGAAATAACTGTTGTCTTTCGGCAGGTTATTTTTCATCTGGGCCAGTTCCCCGATCAAGTTCTTCGTGTGGCCTCAGGGCCCCATGCTAGCACCGCAGGAGGGGCTGTGCCAGAGCGGGGACGAGCTCCCCAGGGTGGCAGAGGCTGCTTAACCTGGGCCGCTGCCAGATATCTGGCTGTGACCTGCAGCCATGCTAACCACACCTCTGAGGATGTGGCTGCCGCTGTTTATGCAGCCCTAGGGAAGCGTTAGGCCGTCCGGGAGACGGGGGCTGCAGCTCAGAAATGTGGAGCTCTATTGAAGTCGACAGGGCTGCGCTGATTTACATTACCTGAGGACCTGGCGCACGCCTTCTGTATGTGTTTCTGCGCGTTTACGCTGCTTTCACCGCATGCCTCACAACTAGTAGTTTTTATAAATGTCCTTCTGCCTCTCTGCTGTGTCCCTTCCCTCTTGCTACCGGGCATCTTTCCCCCTGCCACGCAGCAACTGGAAGGTCAGTGGCTCTCTGGCGCTGGGGAAACGATCACCGCAGACCCCAGCGAGGACGCTTGGTCCCTCCCGCATTCAGTGAGGAAATTCAGGGTTTCTTTTGCTGCTGAGGAAAGTGTCGCGGACCGTGGCAGCCAAGCCAGGAAGCGGGCTCTCGAGTAGCTGAGGCCAGCTTGCCCCAGCGCCGCGGGTGACTGCGCTGATGCCGTGAGCCCGAGCCAGGACGCGGCGAGGGAGCACGTGTCGTGTAGCCACAGGGAAGGCGTGATTTCAGGGGCGACTGGAACTTCCAGAGCGAACCGTTCTTCCCACAATTTCTTCTTGGTGTAAGAAAAAAGAAACAAGGCGAGCTAAGCTGAGGTGCCCTGTGGCGTGCGGTGCCTGGCAGAGACCGGCGGGAGCCCTGGGGTGCCGCAGCATCCTGCCGTATCCCAGGGCAGGGGATGCCTGGCGTTTCCCTCACCCCGATGCAGCTCTGCGGGATCTCCGTGTGTTTGCCTGATACTGTGTTATTCCTGTGCTTCAGGGCTCCCTGCTGGTTACCAGTGAGAGCCCTGAAGCAGTGTTTTACTCTTTTCCATAGTATTTGGCTTCTGGATTTGTGTGAGGATATTGACTGTCCTTGGTGCGCTGGAGACTGGGCACAAGTAGAGGGATGGGAATGGGGGGTGGAGAAAAGCGCTGGTCCTTCGCTGGCTTTAATCTCAGATTTCTGCTTCAGTTGTTCTGCTTGCATACTAAGGGTTAAACTGATCCCCAGGTCAGGGTGGGAGTGAATTTTCCCCCTCAGGCTGTTTGTCTGGGGTTTCCTTTGCCCTCCTCCATTATCCATACCAGGGCTCATCTTGGAGGCCCTTTTGCAGGCCCCCTGGCCCCAGCCTTTGCACTCTCTTGCCCTTTCCTACAGCACAAGTTGCAGCTTTCCATCACTTGTGACAGCTCTCACATTTGCTCCGGAGCACTCTGGCATTCGGTGGGCCATGGTAGCATGTGGGGACAATGTGCCGGGGACCTTTCTGAAATGGGCAAATGCTGTGTTTGCAGTGGATGGCAACGTGACCCCGGTGGTCCCCTCAGGCCGCCAGCCTGAAGGCTTGGTGCGGCTCTGGGTACATGAAAAGCAGGGAGAAAAAGCCTGTGGCAAGGACTTTCCTGGAGGTTTTGCACCAGCGCCTTTCTCAGGGTCAGGACGGCTGAACTGCCTGCTGGATGTGTCCACAGGTGCACAGCAGAAATCAGGATAATCACAATACTCTAAAAATTCACTTTAAACTAGTATTACAGGCAGTCTAAAAGCATGCTGGAAATCATTTGCCTGAGAAGGTCCCAAACAGTTTGTGGTTTCACATGCGTATTTTCCTGTTTTTTTGAATGTTTTCAGTTTGTTGTCTGAAAGATACACAGAGAGGAAACCGTCTGTGTGATTATAAAACTGGGGAAGCGGCAAAACTGATTAAACATGAGATGCTGTCAAATGTATCAAGTAAATACTCTAGGGGGAAAAAAAAATCTCTCTTCTTGCTCGGTAGTGTTAGTAAGTTAGAATAAGTAAATATAAAGATACACAAAGAAAAGCACAGTTTAAAAATTGGCCACATTTTGGCAAGACTGTGACAGCATCAGAGCAAACTAGGATTATTCTTAAACGCTGGAAAATAGGTTTGTAAACTTCTTAGCATCAAAATGGGATACCAAAAAGTCCCCACAGTTGCGTTGTACCTTTAGCTATATGTATGACTTTAAGAAAACTTTCTAGTAAAGCTAATTCTGTGGCTCTTTTTCTTTTCATTCTAGGATTTGACCCTGCTTCCCCTTTTCAGGTCTTGAGAGATGCCTTCATTTGTTTCTCTGATCTCTCATAGTGACAGCACCATGGGTTTTGTCTTGTGTTGTTTCTTAGTTCTTCAACGATCACACAAAGTGTATAATTTCAAGCTGGGTTTTTATGGTGCTTACCTTCCAGTGTGTCAGATTGTGATTCCTTTGGGCAACTTTGTTATGAGATAACTTGAAACATAAAATATGTAGGTAAAAATAGTTTGCTTGTAAATAAGTTGTGATTGACAGTACTTCCTGGGATTAAGCTTAACAAGATTTGAAAATGATAAGAAAAATGTATCCCAGTGCCATAAAACCTGCATTCCTGTGTAGTGGTTGTTTTTGCAGCTGTTGTTTAACTGCCTAGCCTTTTTATAACCAGATTTTGCTTTTGCTTTGTTTTCTAATAGCATATCAGCATTCACTCCATTGAACCTTTGTGGATTTCTACATTAGGCAAAAGTGAAATAACAGTCAAAGGAGAAAACTTTACACATGCATCAGGCATAAAACTGATACTGACTGGAATTACTGGCTGTAAACCAGACATGTGAGTTAAGCTCTGAAAAATAGTATTTACTTTGCTTGGTGAAAATTATGCCCATTTTGCCCTAGCAATACAGTTTGAACAGTTGTCATGGACCTCTCCTCAGCAAAGGGGGAGATGCTCTGCACTCCTTTAGTTATACTTCCACTTTAAATTCCCAAAGAATGGAAATTAATTTGGTGTTTGGGTACAACACAAGGGATGGGTGGGTAGGTGGGCAGCTCTCAGCAGTAGCTACAGCATTTCTGTACCTGTGGCCCTCTGTGCCTTGCAGCAGGCAACAAGAAGTCAGGTCACAGGAAAGCCTCAGCTTTTGTTTGACTCTCCTTCAAAATAGCCCCCATATGTTCTAGGATTCTGCTTGTGAAAGCACAGACACCATGCCAGGAAGGGAATCTCTCATGCAACAGCGTGTACTTTCTCTGTTGATGATTGCACAGTTTAACCCCCTAGATAATTAGGCTATCTTATTCTGAATCAGTCATTTTCAGGTGCAGCTGCAATGGCTGCCTGTGATTACCAAGCCCATTTTACATAGCTAGCACTTCAAAAAGTATGCATATGGTACCATTCAATTTTTAGTTCAACCCCGAATTTCTTGGGGACCACAGAAAACAAAAAGGGAGAAGGATGGAGAGAGGGAAAGGAGGGAGAGAGAGGAAGTAGATACAAAGGGGAAGGAGAGAAAGGGAGGAAGGAAAGAAAGGGAGAAACGAGGAGGGGAAAGAGGGAAGGAAAGAAAAGGAAACTGAAGAGTCTTGTTGACTAGCTAATGTGTTGGTAGCACAGAGAAGTAAACAGCAAAGTACACAGTTTACACAGCAAAATCACACATTGCATTACGTAGCCTTATCCCAAGGCCATAAGACCAATAGCTGTACCGTCTTCTGTGATTATTGTGACACATAGCAACTTCATTCAAAAGATGCCCTACTTCGGCTTTTCAACTCCCTGCTCTCTTTTTCCGCTTCCATCTGGCAGCTCAAAGAGAGATTCATTGTTCTTCTCTTTGCTTTAGGTTGTAGGCTTTGTGTAGTAACACAAGTTGAGTGGCATAGTGGCATCTACGTTTCAGCATCTGACTGTTTTCTTTCTCCTCCAGCATTAAAGTTAGAAATGTGCTAAACGATACACAAATGACATTTGCTCTCCCACCAACACGTAAAGAGGCCAAAAGTATATGTATACAGGCTAATGGGAAAAAATGTTCACCACCAATGACCCTACATTATGTTTCACCACCATCATGTTTTGGAATCACACCAAATACCTCCTGGATCAGGTAAATTAGTCTTTCTATACTTTTTATGTATTTATTAAAATGTAGTCCCACTGAGCCGATATGAGCCGCCTTCCTTGGCCAGACTGCAGCTGACGTAAACTTGGATGACTGCTGTAACCTGTTGTGGAGGATGAATTTATGCCAGTGAACTGATTTAACATTTAACATACAGACAGATTTAACAGTCATGATAGCTGCAAGATGGATTCTGGGTTTTGCAGGATTCTGTCAACTCCTTCCTGCCCACCACAGGTCTCCTTTGTAGAAGTCAAAAATAATCTCTTCATACTAAAGCTAAATCTAAAATATGGGTAGCACGCATAAATTCAAACTCCAGTTAACTTTGATTTCTTGATACTAATATACCCTTCACCTCCAAAACAGTATAAAGTATCAGTGAATTGGAAATTAAGTGAAAATAATCACCACTGCAGTGATACGCACAGACTTGCTTTAGGACCAGCTTTTCAAGCCTCTGCTGTGTTCTGTGCGAGACTCACAGCGCCGGTGGAAGACTTACAGGGTGGTTTTAAGATATTCTCAGGCACAGCTTTCCACCTGTCCCTCTGCCTGCAGTTTTTACCCACTTTCATGTTCTTAATCTGATATCTTGGCGTCAAGCACTGGCAAGCGTGGATTTGAGGGAATAAGTTGGGCTGGCAGCTGCAGCAGCTGAGCAACTAGGACACATGCCCTCATCTCGAAGGTGAGGGGCAGCTCAGGCAGCTGGAAATTAATAATACCTTAAACCATTCCAACTGTGTTCAGCAGAGATTGTGAGCCAGAGCCCTCAGACACAAGCACCATTGTGTGTGCTGAGACAGATGGTCTGAACACTGCTGAAAATGTTTCCTGTGAGGTGCCTGGCACCATCGGTTTGTCCTGAAGAAAGGAAGAATTAAGCACAGGTGGGGCTGTTCTGGGGCAGTGAAATACCATGTCTTCAAGACAGAATAATAAATTGCGGTCTAGTTCTTTGGCTGCATGAATAGAAAACAAGGTGGAGAGTCTCTGAAAAGGAGTATGCATGTGTATGCTATCAAGTCATTTGGTTTTGCGGTAGCAAAAGCATTTACCATTGCATTATGAGGAAAGAATGGAAGTACACTGCATAGCTCAAATTATCTTGTCCTGCAGTTTGACTTTATTATATTGGCTGCTACCAAAACAAAATGCACATGAGTAGTTTGTTCATGGCTGAAGCCTTAATGCAGGACTTATCTGGGGGAAAAAAGGTAATATTAACCTCCCTCCCCACCCCCCACC